AGCGTTTAAACGTATTTTGCTTTTTCGTGCGACACCGGGAAAACGATCATTAGACGTGATTGTTACTAACAGTAAAAAGGTATTTATTCAAAGAATCCCAAATACTGAAAATTGTAACTAGATCCAAAACAGTCTCCTGCTCAAACCTGCTTTTGATGAAACGTAAAAGGAATACTTTGGTATAGGTCGTTGTTTATCCTGGTATATTGTTAATAAGCAATACTGATGTGAGTAAATATCTTGTTTGAATAACATATTGGAAGAGAAAGTATCTTTCTCTTCGGCAACGTCCATACCTCGAGTTTTCAAATACTACGTAGCAATACAACAGGGTTTCACTCTGAGCCTATAAATTAAGAATTACTTCTAACTTATCATTGGTTAAAAGATACATTTTGTTAATCATTTTACTCAACAATTCAGGAGAGAAAAAATTAAGATATTGCAATCATTTGATCCTTCAATTTTTCTAAATAAGATAATCTGCAAGTGGCAGAAAATGCAACATTATTTTCAAGGGCTCTGATTGGTCAAAAAACTCAGAAATTGACCATTCAAATTTCGGTATATCCGAAGCTTCTTTTTGCACGAAAAAAATATATAATTTCATTTCTGTAGAAAAAAACAGAGGTCTGCTACAAACCCCATTAATTAATAAACTTGAGAGAAATTTGGCTTGTCTCAACATAACGCTTCTAAAACAATTAGATATTTCTTCAAAGCAAAACAAACAACTAATTTTAAATCAGGAGTGAGAGTCTGCCAAATAGAAGATAAATAGTTATCCCCCGCCGAAATACATCGGTAATAGGTACCTTCATGAAATCGCTAAAAAAGATCACAGCATGACGAAAAAGGTGCCAAACTTGAGAAAAACAAAACTTTATCATCTAAATGTTTATGTTATTATTAAGAGGAAAGATCAAAGTATTTTGGGAGTATTTTTTTACATTTTTTAATCGTTCCTAGCACGTCCAAAATTTTCGTTAAATTTTTTTTTTAGTCAGCAAAATTGACAGATAATCGATCATGTCAGGCATTTTTTCCAATTTATAAAAAAATGAAAATCTCAGTTTGAAATTCTTTTAAAAATCGATTATAATTTTTTTCAAAACTTATTTTAAGAAAATCAGAAATTATAATGTTTATTTAAAATATTTTGAACTAAGATTAACTTAGTTTCTGCGCCGAAAAGACGTAGTTTGAAAATAAAACAAAGCAGGGCATAACCTTTCGTGTCACTTGACAAGGTGACGAAAGACATTCATGATGTTTTGATAGCTTACGTGAGGATAATTCCTTCTACGGAAGGATAGATGTGAAGTTATTTAGATTTAAGTGAACAAATTATCTACCTCGTTATTTTTAAAGAAAACTTTCAGCGTTCTAATTTTTTTTTTTTTTTGTACTTAGCTTTCACCTTTACGTTTACTATGCTTTATGGAAAATATATTATTAAAAAATTAAAATAAGACTGTTAAGAGTGAGATTAAATTTCATAAGAAAGGTATCTAATTAATTTATAGGTACCTTTCTTATGAAATGTTATCAGAAGTGTACATAAAATACAAATTTAAATTTCATAAGATGATACTGATACTTGTAGGTACCCTTCTTAGTTGAAATTGAAAAATCAAATTAACTTCACACGTGTTTCGAAAAAATAAATCTATATCTCAAAAGGACATTTACGAAACTGAATGCGGCCTTTAACTAATTTTATAATATTTTAACCACTTAAATGTAAAAATATATTATAATTAAAGAAATAACAAATAATTGTATTAAAAATTCAGTATTTAAGTTAAATACTAGACAGAAAATCAATCCACGGGTCGTTTTTTTATTGCACGCATGATACTTACGCATGTAAAACTGATAAAATATTTCAGAAATAACAAATAATTGTTTTAAAGATTCATTTTTCATCGAAATATCTTTTTACATTCAGATAATATTGTCCATGTCCATTAAAATAAATAAAAGCAATTAAAAGCTTTTGAAATTAAATAATATTTTTGTTTTATTGAGTTTTGTATGTTACTATTGGTAGAGGTGGTCCAACTAAAAAAAAAAAACAAAAAAAAAACATGATTTGGGTTCCTCAAAGCGTTGTGCTTTTAACTAATATAATCACTAATCTTCCCAAAATTGAAATTATAGAGTTTTCGTACAATTAGTTAGGGGGAGGGGGGTAATACATATGAAAAAATATTTTCGCCATGACTTTAAAAAAGAAAAACATATTTGTAATAAGTTCCATCATTTGTGAATAGTTTCTGAAAGTTTCATTAAAATGTGACAATTATTTTTATTTTTACAAGATTTTCAAAATTAATTTCTGTCATACAGAAAAAATCAGCTAAAATTTTATGTTATTTTACTAGTTCCAGTGGTACAAAGAGTAACAAGGTTTTTTTAATCAAAATTTAGAATGTTCTAAAAAGAAGGAAAAAATTTTTAAAATAATTAAAAAATATTTTGATCTTTCCTCTCAATAATAACATAAACATTTAGACGCTAAAATTTTGTTTTTGTCAAGTTTGGCGTCTTTTTCATCATGCTATGCTCTGTTTTTAGCAATCTCATGAAAATACCTAGTAAAACATCATGAGATTTAAAGAAAAAGAATATTTGAACATAAACGGAACATAGATTGAAACAACACACTTATTTCCGCCGAAACTTTCATGGTCCCAATTTTGATCTAGGAACGACTTTTTCTTAAAAATAATTGAATATAATTCACTGAAGCGAAGATATATTGAAAGGATTATAATCTATGAAGCCCCTGCACTTAATATACGTCCAGGCTTCATCAGCCTATCACGTGTTGAAATAAGGTAGTATACGAAAATTCTTAAAGCAAAATGAATATATAAATGAAAACTGAGTTGAAAATAAGTAAATTCTCATTTCAAAAACAATACACCATCATCAGTGCTGTTTTGATTTAAAAACACGTTGCAAATTAATGTGATTTCTCATCTTTAATAACGTTGTAAATATCTCTTATTAGTTCTCTCTAAATCTCTCTGTCCTCTGCTAACGCACGAAAGTGTTGCAAGTCTTCCTAACTCGAAAGCTTTTACAGAAATTATGTAATTATATTAATAGTTATTTTTAATGTGTATACTATGGTAAAAGGTCCACTGTTTATGAATGGTATTCTTCCATTTCGTATTGTTCCTAAAAGCATTCCATGAATTTTAAACGTTATTACTTTTCTTTCTTTACTAATGTGTTATTTTTTTTTATTTCTCTGTGTTTGTGTGTGTGTGTATTTGTGTGTCTGTATTTGTGCACTTGGTGACTGCTGTCCAATTTCATTGTACATTGCGCAAAGGGCAAGAAAAATAAATAAGGAAATAATAAAGAAATGTCCATAACATTTACTCTATGTTTCCAATGCTATTAATTTGTGTTATCTAACTCCGATATTAATATCAAATCCTTCTTGGGGGTCAACATATTATAATAATATAATAATAATAATAATAATAATAATAATAATTAACCGTCTTTATTTTATATCAGATTTTTTTAAATATACACAGACTTTCAACTGGAGTGGCAACTTATAAGGTGCTCTTCCGCCCAACTCGACAATTTATTTTTTCATGACAATAAGAGGAATATATATATATATATATATATATATATATATATATATATATATCTATATATATATATATATATATATATATATATATATATATATATATATATATATATAGTTTTAAAAACTAGGAAACCATTGATTTTAATATTAAGAGTCTCTAGAGCCCTTTCAGCCAACATCTCATCAGGAGACAATCGTTGGATAAGCGAAATGAATAATAGCGATATTGAAGAGCAAAAAGAGGGGAAACACAATAAAATAACGAACAAGTATATATACTTGTAACGAGGGAAGGGTTATCGTGTAAATAAATAGCGAGGGACAGTTAAAATAAAATATCCCCAACAGATTTAGAGACCTTATAAATTCTTTCTGCCGGCAGAGAGAAGGTTTTTAAATCCTATACAGACCGATTCCAAAATCTTCAAATGATTATTGGAATCGGCTGTATAAATAATTCTAAACCACTTATTTTTATATTAACTTGGCACAAGCTATATTCTCAACTAAATGTTGAGCAATAGCCGATTCCATATTCATGGGGGAAGATAGCATATTCTATCTATCTTACCAAGTCGTATTTTGGAAGGAACGTGCTGATTAATTCTAGTTTCCAAATGCAAGGTTGTACGCCCCACATAACCAGCAGCACACTGGCAATTAAATTCATATACTAAATTACTCAATTTGATGTAGGGCAAATATATATATAGATTTTTTTAGTTTGTTAGTTTTTTGTTTGTTTGTTTTTTGTTTGTTTTTTTGTTTTTTTTGTTTTGTTTTGTTTTTTTGCGATGACTCTGTTTGATCAGCAAAACGACAAAAGAAGTGAATTCCATATTGTCTCAGAAGAAAATATATTTCCATGCAATAAATAATAAAAAAACGATACATTTAAAGTAAAAAAAAAAACAGATATAACGTGAATCGACCAAAAGAAATATCCTGTTTTTTTTTTGTTTGTTTGTTTTTTTGTTTGTTTTTTGTTTTTTTTGTTTTGTTTTGTTTTTTTGCGATGACTCTGTTTTTGCCTAAAAATCAGATTAGAAACAGAAATATCAATGAATTTTGCCAAAATCGATTGGTTAATATCAATATTATTGTGAAAACATTGACTTGCAGAATCAAATTCGATATCGTCTAGCTAGCTTCTGCTGTGTCATTTGAGAGTAAGATAGAAACGAGGAATGATTCTGTATGCCAATTAAAAAAACGAAGAAAATGTGTCAAGAAAGTTAAAGAAAAAGGAAAAGAAGAAGGGAATGAAGATGCGAAAATCGCAGAAATTCAAGAGGAATTGACAAAAGTTAAATAAAATAGAAGAAATGGTATAGAATAAGAAGAAAAAAAACTGGAAAAGGAGACGAGAAGAAGATGATCAAGAGAGGAAGAAAAAGAATGTGTATGAAAGAAGCCAAGAAGAAGTAGAAAAGGAAAGACAAGAAAAAAGAGGGAAATGGAAAAAAGAAGAAACGAGAAGAGGATAACAATTATGACACGAAGTTGAGGGAATAGAAGAAGAAGAAGAAGAAGAAGAAGAAGTCGAAGTCGTCAATAAAAGAGGACAAGAATCAATCACAAGTAGAAGACTGTAGACAAGAAAAAGAAGAAAGATAAAGAGAGGTAGTTACGATAAAAGTTAGACAAGGAGGAAAAAATATAAGACGAATGTGAAAGAGAGGAAAGACCGATTAGAAGTAGAGAAACAAAAGAATGCATAAAATGAAGAAAAGAAGAAAAGGAAGCTTAGACAAAAACGAACTCATTTCTGCAGAAAAGAGGTTACAAAAAAGAAGAAAAAGAAAGCATTACAAAAGAAGTAGAAGAAAACCACTAGGAAGGGAGCTGGAATGAAGAGTGAGAATGAGAAAAAGAAGAGTGAAAGAAATGAATAAGAATATCTTGCTAATAGCACAATGAACAAGACGCTGTGTAAAGGAATAGAAATGAAACAAAACCAAATAACCGAGAACAGAAACGCGAAGAAGCGAAAGAACAAAAAAAAATGAAGAACAAGAAGAACGAAAAGAAGCAGATAAAGAAGCGTAAAGAAAACAAAGAAAACTGAAAAAAAAAGTGAGAAGAACTGAGAGATGAAGACGATAACAAAAGAGGATTAGGGTCATAAGACAGTAAATAGAAGATTTCGTCCGACGCACTCATCCCGACTTAAAAACCGGAGAACGTGCACGCCATAATGCGTAATCGGAGCAATTGTATTAGATTGGATGGAGCCGTCCATAATTCCTGTTTTCCTGCTTGGTTGACTTTTTATTGTTTTGACATCAGAGATTGTTCAGAACTCTGCTACCTTGTGTATTCTTCTTCGTTTTTCTTTTTCCCAAGAGTTTTTGCTAACGCCATTATTCAGAAAAACCACCCACATTCAAAGCCTTTTTGTCATAATGTCTATATCACAGCATTCCAGGCCAACGCACAGTCCGTTTGATAATGGGCAAGTTGTAATTTTGCCTGTTAGATCGAGCAAAAATATCGAGAATTTCACACGTCATGACTTTTTTTTTTTTTACTTTTGAGATATGGCTCGGATATTAACTTAAACAATTCTAACAAAAACATTAAAAAGTCATGTTCTGGAGATCTCTAATTCATAAAGCTAAGTATCTTGCCAAGAATATTTCTTGTCAGATGACCCCATTTTCTGACCATTTCTACCTGAATTGTTTGGATAAACAGTTACCACTTTTTGATATTATTTATCCTAGTGCTATTTTCATCCTCTTTGTTCATATTATCAAAAGGATTTGGCTTTTTGTACCCTCCGGACTTCATCAGGGGCTTTTTGATCCGAGTAACCTTTGAGAAATTTCGAACTGAACGCTTTATTTAATCAACGGACGTAAAATTCTCTTTTTCAGTTGTCCAGGGCAGGCGATATCTCGTTTTGTTCTTATTTAGCAGTGTACATCTATCACTCGCCCGGTATGTACGACCCAGCCCAGAGATTGAACTCACAATTACTGTGCCGAGTTCTTTGCGTTTACTTTCGTACAAATACCCTTCCACTTCTAGCTTTTTAATTGCTGTCTTTTGTCGATAACTTTCACCCACCCACCCCACTTGATGGCCGGCTGTTGTCTCAATAATGCTCCTTTCCTTGAGCGTCTTTTGAGACCCAAGCATATCCCAGAACTCAAGTGGAACACATATGTACGATCCATCACTAGATGCTGGAAAAATGGTCGATTTCCTGTACCACACCAGTAAGGACCTCCCGATACTCTTTACTATGTGCCTGATCATTTTTCACCTTACATTTTCTTTCCCACAGACGAAACGTCGCAAGCATCTATCGCTATTTCCATGGCAAGTGTTCTGGCAAGCTACAGTCCTTGGTTCCTCAAGCCCTGACCTTTGCAGCTGGGACCCGCCGTGTCACATACACGAGGATGAATCATCCTTATTCATGTCGTATTCCTGTTCAAGTCTAAATCGTTATCTTCCCTACATGACCTCATGAACTGCTCTTCCTGCCTTTTCTTACTCTCATACACCACTACAGAGTAAGCTTCTACCTTGGGTCTTGTATCGTTTTTCCTTAGACCTGCTTGTTTAGGAAAATTTAAGCATTTAACCCCTTAAAGCTTTCTTGATATTTACTGACAGCTGGGTATATAAGTGGACGTATGCCTTTCACATAAGCTTTCAGAACAGCTTTATATCTGCAAAGTGCACACCCTAGACCAGAGAAACGATCATGGCAAGAGGTAAACAAGAAAAATTACAATGGACAACTCTAGACATACTACTTAAAAGACTGATAAAATAAAATATATGTACATGTTTACGCAGAATACACCTAAAACGGGAAGCGCTGTCTGTAACAATTTTAACTTAGAACAAATACATTAGGAATAATTATATCAAAGGAAAAAAAAACAGAAAAACATGAAATATCATCTTGAGGGAAAAACACTGTAAATGGATACAGTAAACAGACTCAAAAGGAATACAAAGCCGGTTTTACATGATACGGAACGATGATATATTGGAAATTGTGCAAATGCCTTGAGTTCCATCATGTAAACATTTGCAATGGGCACAAACTGAAGATACTGAGGCAGAGAGAGAGAGAGAGAGAGAGAGAGAGAAGATAGATATGAAAGAGATTTAAATAGATAGATAGATAGATAGATAGATAGATAGATAGATAGATAGATAGATAGATAGATAGATAGATCTGTAACATAGAAAGGGTTACTGAATGAGGAATAAACAAAACGGAGGTTGTTAATGAAATGATAATCCTTATAATATCAACAAAATACAATACCCGCCAGCGGCGTGAAGTAGATGAACCACTGCTAGTGGTGAACTATTTAGACAGCATATTACCCCACTAACAATAGTGTCGAACGTATTTATGCGGATTAGGACATACCCAGTAGTGTTCATAGGTACGGTATATAACAGATAGATAGATAGATAGATAGATAGATAGATAGATAGATAGATAGAAAGATTGATTTACAGGTTTCATCTATCTTTTAATCAAGTTAACTCTTCTAACAGCTGTAAAACCACATGAGAAAATATTAATAGCACTTTATCGAGAACTCATCACCTTTCGGCTCTTCTTCTAATCACAAGCCCCTAAACAACAAGACTTCGTCACGGCCATCACTGCTACTACCACGGGAGAAGGTCGCATTGAAGATTAGAATAGCACTAATGACTGGAAAGGAGTGAAGATGTCAGCACTGATTCGACGTTGAAGTTAATGAAGATGATTCGATGGCTAATTGGAGACGTCTTCTAGATCTTCCTCTCTTCCCCCCTTTCACTCTCTCTTCCCATCACTCTCTCTTTCCCTCACTCTCTCTTTCTGATTCTTCATGTTTATTCCCTCATATTCTTTCTCTTCTGCTCGCTCTTGTTTTATTTATTCACACAAATAATCCCGCTCTCTCTCTCTCTCTCTCTCTCTCTCTTTCACACACACACACACACATATTCGCACGCACACAGACACACATGCACACACACACTTTCAAACACACACGTTTACTTAGCATCTTTTCGTTTATTTTTCATTAGCTCTCTTTCTTTTCTCTCTTCGCTGCTTTGCCATTTTTTGTTTATTAATTCTTTCTCTGTTTTGTTTATCCGCGCTCACTTATTTTTCATTCACTCTTTCTCTCTCTCCCTCTCTATCTCTCTCTCTCTCTCTCTCTCTCTCTCTTATGTCTTCACCCTCTCAATAATATATTCACACTTCTTCATCTCATTTACACACACTTTGTCTTTCACTTCTACATACATTCTCTTTTAAATTTACTCACACTTTTGTTTATTCTTTCTTTCTTTTTATATATATATATATATATATATATATATATATATATATATATATATATATATATACCTTTTTAAACAATATTTATTATGAAAAAAGAAATATAACAATTCAACAATATTTTTAAATGATTATTCCTGGGCGTATGATTATCGACACGCATTTTTATAACCGGAAAAAAATAATATTTTTTACTTAAAAAAGTAAACAAAACAGCAATTTTTATTAACAAATAACCCGCCTGCAAAAACGCCTGATAATTATGCACCAACCCAATATAATCTCATGAGTTTATTCACTTTATTCATTCTGCCTTCTTTCCATTTTTTTCTTTTTTTGCACTATCACTTTTCTGCTTCTCTTATGTGCCAATTCTCTCTCTCTCTCACTATCTATCTATCTATCTCCACTACTGCTACTACTAGCTTCTCTCTCATTTTCTCTCACTTTTCTTCTCTTCTCTCACATGTTCATTCAGTTCCTCTTTTTTTACGTTTCATTTATTCATCTTATCTATTCCCTTTTCTCATTCTTGCCCATTCTCTCTCTTTCTCTTTCTCTCTCTCTCTCTCTCTCTCTCTCTGTCCCTCTCTCTCTCTCGCTGTCCCTCTCTCTCTCTCTCTCTCTTCTACCTACCATTCTGCGTTCCTTTACTCTCTATCTCTCTCTCTCACACACACACATACACACACATTCGCTGTCTCTTTTTTTATCGCTTTTCTTTCTTTTCTACTGTTTTCTGAACTATGAATATTTTTCAGGTAAAAAACAAATCGGCTTTGAATTCGGAAGCGAAACGAAGCCAAACAAAATATTTTTTTGTTCTGTCAGAAAAGAAACTGCAATTTTACAAAACGGGAAGTGGAAACACACCGAAACGAAATTTAGTTGAAACGGAGAGAAGGAATTAAAAGCCGCTGTAATTACAACTTGCATGATACAAATTTGTTTTTTCCGTGTGGCAATGAAGTCCTGAAAAGGTCGATAAGATTAACAACAGAAAGAAAACAATGCCAGATATAGAAAAGAAAATCTTCCTGCAACGTTTCATTGGCAAAGGAATGTCGTGAGAGTTTTATGCTCTTATTTTCTGAAAAAGACATTGAACAGAATTCTTTTTTTAAAAGTAAAAACTGAAGTCAAGCAAAAGAGAAAATGAAGAGAAGAAGCAGAAAACAAAATTGGAAGAAAAAGACGTGTTGTTACATAATGGAAAAGGGAGAAAAGAAAGATAAAATTGTGGAATGTGACATAATAAGAGTCGGAGGCATGATAATAAGAGTCGGAGGCATAAACGATAAGAAGGTAAAACAAAGTGAGTAGAAATAATGAAGAGAGAGAGAGAGAGAGAAAGTAAGAAAAAAATTATGTTTCCATTGACTGCAAAGGAAGAAACAAAGAAAGTCTAAAACAAAAGCGGGGTGAAAAAAAGAAAACGAAGTGAAAAATTAAAATGTCGGATAATAAGAAATTTACAAAGGGGGATAGAATAAATGTTATAAACGAGGTTAGATTTGTCTGTAGAAAGAAAGAAAAAAAGAAAGAAAAAAAAAAAGAAAAAAAAAGAAAAAAAAAAAGAAAGAAAAAAAGAAAGAAAGAAAGAAATTGAAGAGGAAAATAAGACATGAAATATTCCGGATTTCCAAATGTTACCAATGCTTTTTTTAAAAACAAATTTGAAAATAAACAATTTTTAATGTTATTTATTCAGGTAACCTAACGATTTGTATCCTAAGGTTCACCCAATATAAGGTTCCAGAGCTACTTGTCTTAGAGAATTACTAAATGAAGTGTTTGATAGGTAAGAAAGACGAGGTTAAAAGACGGAAACATTATGGAGATAAGAAGGATAGATTGTGATTTACTGTTATTACTTAGTAGTTCAGCATTCCTTTATTTCTAATGACATTTTTCCCTCTTTTAATACTTTGTTTCATTTCTGAAAAGCAACTAATCGAATGCGTCTTCGGATTTCTGTGTCATATTTTCTATTATCTTAAATAAATAAAGGATAGTACATTATAATGAATATGTGTTGCGTTCACTTTCACATATGTGCCTGGGGAAAAGGCGTGAATCTATTTATTCTCCCCCCCCAGATATGGGTTAAATAGCAGAGCAGACTGCTATCTCTATAGCTGTGGATAGCAGTCAGTCTACAAGTATTGATTTGTTTTTATGGCTTATCAACACTCAAAACCAAATAATTTTTATTTTGATAGTGAATAACTGGCAAAATTAACTATTTAACACATAGCTGAGGGAGAGGATGGAACTCATACTTTTCCCAAAGGTATTTGCTCGTAAGTGAATGTAATGAACTCGACTGGAATTTGAAAACGGCTTTCCATTACACCACCAATCGAAAAATATCTATTCTGAATTTAAAAACGTCGACACGGCAAAAACAAACAACCCACTAGTAGCATTGGTAATTCCCAGATAATAAATTAACGGAAGCTATGGAAAACTATGACTGCGTATGTCCTGGATATATATATATATGAATGTAAAGGTTATGCAGAAATGGAGATCGGTACAATAAAGAGTAATGAAAAGAAAGTATGGAAAATATGACACCGAAATCCGAAGGCATATTGGCATTGTAAAGATGCCTTCCAACAATTAGAAAAAGTACTAAGAAACAGGAAAATATCATTAGAAACAAAGAAAAGAGTGCTGGACTAATATCAATAAGGCAATGAATGTTGCATCTCAAATGACAAGAATAGTATACCGGTCTCCTCTCTGATTTCGTCTTCCTATTTCTTAGGTAATTTACTAAGGGCTCTTTTACCAAGAAAGCTGTCTTTGTAGGATATATATACAGAATGCTTCGATCTCCTCTTCTGATTAAATGGCCGAAACGGTTTTGGCCTCCTTCTCATAATCAGGGGAATTATTTTTTATCTATATAAGTTTTATCTGTTTGAATTTTCATTGCTCATTTTATGCCACCAACGATTATGCATTGTAACTAGTGACTATTTTATTATGTTTGAAAATTGGAATTATACGAAAGTCGGCTAAAAAGTTCATAAACTGACCATGAAGGAGTAATGCTAAGCTGTGAAATCTTGCATTCATTAATTTCAACTTTTCTTATTAATAATCGCATTGTATTTTTTTTCCAGAAAAGTGGCGTTTCTTTCTCTCTCTCTCTCTCTCTCTCTATATATATATATATATATATATATATATATATATATACATGATTCATTTTTTTGCTTGCAAACTTTCTTTTTAGCTGGTGTATTTTTGGGGGTGGGGATTTACTTTAATTTGGGTGAAATTTTATATTGAGTTCAGATTTGAATAAAAATCAATATTATTTTTTTAGTCTATTTCTTATCGCAAATTTACCCAGGCCATCGATGTACAGCAATTAGTAGACAGCGCTGATGAGAATACACATTCTTTATCTTTCCGATTAAAAGTTAGCTGCGAATTAAGATTAAAGCAAATTCTAATTAAAAATGAATAATAATAGTTCACAAATGTGCCATCTGATACAAAAAGAAAATGAAAGTAAATTCTAGGCAAAAATGGACAATATTCGCCAATACTTAAAAGAAAAAAAAAAAGAAGAAAAACAATTTTGCTGTGATTTCTGAGATGAAGAATGATAATTCTTATCGGCTTTGCTATTCGAACCAAGAAGCTTACTGTGTTTGTTATACTCACAAAGATTTTCGGTATTTTTACCCTACGACCTTCTTCAGGTTTTTGCCCGATAACCTTATTGGAATTTCGAACCGAACCGTTTATTCATTCTTCTAATACCTGGAATGTGCTTTGTAGTGTATCGGCTCAGAGTGAGAACTCGAAGAGTTGAGTTCGAATTCCAATCGAGTTCATTAGATTCACTTTCGTGCAAATACCCTTCGGAAAGGTATGAATCCATCTCCCCACTCCTATCTATGGTTTGAATTGCAGGACAATCTACAGCAGAAAGAAATAGCAACCTCGTCAGTCATGTATCAAAAGACATATGATCGACCAAGAGCGTATCACGTATGGCACTTAACCGACTAAATACCTGGAAAAAGAAATGAAAACGACCTCCTCACGTGGATCGAATAAATGATTAAAATGGCAATAAAATTACTATGAGAACAGACACTTGAAATATCAAAATGTTGTATGTAGAACAAACCAGTGGAAGATGTTGATGTGGATAGAAC